ATGGAGGAGAACCACTGGGTTTTCCTTGCTCTCTATAATTGGCTTCACACAACTGCTCATTATACTGCTTTCTGAGAAGTTAACCTGCCTGGCACTAAGTGATTACTTTGGACATAATTTAAAGGTGAAGAAAAAGGCAAATCTGAGACACACCCAATTCAAGAAGGAATTGCGTTAAATGAGGAACAGTATTCAATTCTACCAAAAAAAAAAAAGAAAAAAAAAAAAAAAAAAAAAAACCCCCTTAATTATACGAAGAAAGAAAAAATTACATTGACGGGCAGCCTCTCGATTCTGGCAGCGAGTTTTCGAGCAAAAGGGTCTTTAATTTTATCTACCTGCTTCGGTAGAAAGGAAGGGAAATAATCGGCCAAAATTATGAAACGCCTTTGGGGTCTGCGGTTGAAGAACGTCGGTGCATGGCCGGGGGTGAGAAGCAGCATCTTTGTTGACGGGGACGCAGTCAGTTTGCCGGCGCTTCCTCCTCCTCCTTCGCGGTAAAGAGCAAAGGGCTTGAGCGGAGTAATGGGTGGATAAATCTCCGGAGAAGCAGAGCCTTAGACTTGTAGGCTGAAATATAGCTTGACCCCTCCAACTTGTTGGGATTTCGGCTTTAAGCCTCTGCACTTGCTAGGTAACAAATAAGCCCTTCAACTCAATTAGGGTAACAAATAAGCCCCTCAACTACTCACAAAAAAAAAGATCTTCCAGTCATGAAAGTATTTAAGTTGTCAGTCTCATGATGAGATGTGTACAAATTTTATTATTAAAACGGTACATATCAAATATTAAAAAAAAATTATATAATGTTTTTAATTTATCATTATAAAAATATATAGAAAAAATACATATTAATTTCGATTCTTAAAATAAATTAAAATTTTAATTTTTAAATTACGTTATTTTACTTAATTAAAACTTAATTTAAATTTAAAATTTTATATTATTAAATGTTAATATTTAGATTAAAAAATTGATTATATTAAAATATATAATTAGTTTACAAATCTAAAATTCATTATTTAATAGAAAGGGTTTCTAAATTTGAAATTAAAATTTTAATTTTTAAATATAAATTGAAACTCTAACTTTTTTAAGAATTGAAATTAATATACATTAATCTCAAAATACATTTATATATGTAATTTTTTGAATATATACAATTTAGGAATAAAAAAATAGAGAATTTTAGCTTGGTAACCACATGTCTTGAACCTTCGCTAGCGCCAAGACAATGAGTGCACCAAACGTTTAGATTGGGGGGCTATGGCCCCCTGATCTTTTGAAAATTTTTTTAATTTGTCTCCTAATTTTATATTTTAGGAATTTTATCTTTAAATTTTATTTTATTCACTTAATTATTTTTAATATTTATAAAAATAATTATTATATTCTTTTTTTTTTAACAATTTGTAATTATTTACAGGGTTAATTGGGGGAGGGGGAAAAAGGGTTCCGTGGGACTCGAACGTGCAACCCACGGAGGTGAACAGCTCTAACCCAAGGTCTGATGCCACTAGGCCGGAGTGGACCATTTAATTATTATATTTTTTTTGTAAATCTTGTCATTAAATTAAAAATAAAACGTTGATATAACAAGTATAAACTCTTTAAAGCTAATCTATTAACTATAAAAAAGGCCTTTTAATTTCTAATTTTTTTAATCAAAAAATTAGTAAGAAAATCTTTAAACTTTTAACATTTATCTATATTTTCTTTAAAAAAAACCCTTAAATCATCACTTTTTTAGTATCTAAAATTAGTCTAAAATATTCATTTCAATTACTAATATCTATTTTTTTCTAAATCAAACATTAAAACTTCACCTATAACTCAAACTTTTTTTATTAAGTCAAATCTTTTTATTTTATTTTACTATTTTATTACACATTTTTCCCCCAAATACAACTAGATAATTATTCACTAATTATTAAAAAATTCCAAAGGACAATATATTTCACATTGAACATGATCAAATTTGATTTTAAACATAAATTTACAACTTTACAATTATGTATTAATCTCTTTGATCCTTTTTAGTTACTAAATTTCATCAATTTTATGTTAATTAAGTTTATGATTTTATAAAAACAAATTAATGATAATTGAAATTTTTTTTATGTAAGTGAAGATATTCAATTGACACTATATTCAAAAAGGAAAAAGTTTGTAATTGTTATTTATTTGTTAAATAAAATTATCAAATCAAATTTTATGTAAAAATTATATAAATATAACTAAAATAGATCAAAGAAAATAATACTTTAAATATAGGTTTAATTTAAAAGTCAATAAATTTGACCCCTCTCATTTCAAATCTTAATTCTGCCACCGGTACTAACCAATTAGTCTATAAAGCACTTTTATATAAACTAAAATAAGTATGTAAATTGATACCTTAATAGGCATAAAAGAATATTATTAACATGCATAGTAAAAAAAATTTAAATTCATGACATAAAAAATAACATTAATTTTTAAAAAATTAATCTTATTACATATTTAAGGTAAAAGATTAAGTCGCTAATGAAAAAAAAAAAAAGAAAAAGAAAAAAGAAAAAGAAAGTGTCATAACGTGATTCAAATGGAAACATGAAGCCATACAATTCTTTTCTTCATACATATTTTTTTTATAAGGATACTATTTTCTGCCAGAGTTGGACTGTAATAAATTAACTATAAATTTTGAGGAAGGGTCTTCGATTCAAGGACCCTTCACTACTAATCTTATAACTATAATTATAATATTATATAATACGTATTAGCTCTCATTGCATGGTACATTTTTGTTTACCCGAAAAACAAAGACAAAGCGATGATGGGACATTACCATGGACCATTGGTATGGCAATGGTACCGTACTGGAGGCTTAATACCCATGGTTTTAAAAACCGGATTGGATTGACCGATTGAACAGGTCAGACTGATATCTGGTCATAAAAACGAACCGAGTTAGTACTTCAAACCATTTAGGGGGTTAAACCACTCAAAACCATTCAAACCATCCAAACCAATAAGAACCGATAAACCATCCAACCGACCGAGCCAACCATTTGGAGAAAATTTGCAAGGTTTGTTGTTGCCAGTGGGTCTCGAACACAGGACCTCATGAGATTTCCACAACTCCTTTACCACCAAAGCCATGAATCCCTTCGTGAAATTAGTTACAAACACTATCCTTTAAAGAATATTACAAGCGTAAAGGTAAAAATCGTGATCACTTTCACGAGATTCGAACACTCTCTTTTATGTTTTGAACAAACTTTTACCACTTGATCTAAATCAAGTTTATTGATTTATATTGACTTGAGATATATTTATTATAATAGAATTACATAAATGAATAAATTTGGCATGTTTGAGATTCGAACCCTAGTTCTATAAAACACAAAAAAGCATTCCAACCACTAGAGCTACTTCTAGATTTATGAAAAGATAATATATTTAACATATATCTTCAAAATTCAAACAACTTGATTTTTTATCTAGTTAAACCGATTCAATCGTTAAACCTATGAACCAAAAGTCAAAACGGTTTGACCTCTGGTTCGATTTTCAAAACCTTGCTAATACTAGAGTTACCATA